CAACCGTGTCATCTTTGGAAACGAGGAGACGGCCGGGGCAGAGCATAGGGCCGCCAACCATCTTGACTAAGCAAATACCAGCATGAGTTAGCCATTAGTTGGGAAGCGCGAAAACGAACGGCTCCAGAAGGAAAACTAGAGAAGCAAGATTTCCGCCTCTGAAACCGTCTTGCCTTCCCGGTTGCTAGCATACCCCCTAGTTCAATCAGCTCAACGAGAAGAATTTCGTTAAAGAAACGCTTGCCTCATCATATTACGTTTTCAAATTACTCTAGAAAGTAAGATGTATGGGACGTGGCTTTGAATACAACAGCCTCCGTCTGTCTTGGCTTTCGATCGGGGTACAAGAGGGCAAAAGAAGCGCTCCCGTTAGGAAGATCCATAAAACCGCAATCGTTGCGCAATATTAATCAAACTTGTTTGCCCCTGAGGACCGATCGGTACATGTTGGCCCACTATCCGACATTCATGAAACATATTTTAACGTTACAAAAGCTTGTGAGTAGAACAGGAGTGTCTTGCGGGGCATGCTTCTCTTGTGAGTTTAGCATAAAAACCGGATTTTCTTTTTTATAGTTGTATTCTGGCGTAGTACACTATATCGCTAATATTACGCATATAATGTACACATGTAGTGATATTACCAAAAGCTGCGCAGTAAGACAAAGACAACCGAAGCAGACGTTAAACGTATCTAATACATTAGTATAGAGATGGGCAAACACAAGAAACTGAAAACGAGTTAAACCTGTTAAATCTTCCTATTCTTCCGTTTCACACGAAGAAGTCAAACAAGGCAGGACAGGAAGCTTGCTTGAGTATCCAGTGGGGCGTATTTAGGAAAATCGCACTGTCAGCGGAATCTTTAAGGAACTGGCCTAACGCTTTATTGATGCGGACGGTCGCCTAGTAACTCAGCACTCAGTCAAACGCCACCGTTCGATAACTAGGCTCGCAACCAGATAGGTCGACAAACAAACAAACTCTAGGTCAGGCCTTCTAATCCAACTACCTTCGGGTAACCCAGGGGAATCTTTGTAAAGCAAAAGTTTCCATACATCTCATCGTAGCGGATCATTTATAGGCATTCTCTAGCTGAAACCTCAACTAGTACAATCGAAGAGTGACGGGATGTATCTTTAACCGCGGTGCTGCTTTTAAATGCAGAAGGCAGCCATCTAAGCGACATCTTTTCAGCATTAGAGGTCACGGACGTTGAGTTCTGCGAAAGCTGTGGTAAAGCCATCAGTGAAATACATACAGGCCTCTCATACGCGCAGCCCCACCGTTTTCTCTGCTGTCTTAACAATATACAGGTTATTCCTACCGGCACTTCCTTATTCAGAGGAATAGACCCCATCGACTTATCCCGCTCACCCGCTTTGGTCGATAGATCCACAGATTCAGCCCGTTTGCTCACAGCCTCCCAGCCACTAATAAGATGGTTCGCTGTCCCACGGCCGCTGCGCACGCGACGACTAAGCTCGGTCTGTGTGAGGACGTGTTTACCTAGCGCTCCGACGAACCGAAGGCGCGCCTCTAGCACTTATCGATTGATGTGAGTGGCCGAATGTTGCTGCTGGCCTGTGGCAACCCATTATATTAATACTGCCACAGCAGCTACCTCCGAGGCAGTTCCAACCTAGTTGCTATTGTCTTAATAAAAGTGTAGAAAAGAACAAAGAGGAAAACCAAAAGAAGAAAAAACGATCCTTTTTTTCCTAGGAAACGACGTGTGGCCACTGGTTGAGGCGGGAGCAAAAACCCCGGAGGGTGCCAGCGTATAACTAAAGGCAACGATCTCACCCAAGTGCACTCCAACGTCGGGCTCGTGCTACTTCTGTTACCGAAGGCTGCGAAAGAATGCGGAGAAATAACGATGTCCCTTCAGACGTGAAGCAGCGTTGGGGGATGTGGGGGACATTCCGGTGCTCAGTCGACAACCCAATGCATGGCAGGCATTCGTGGCAGCGTAAAGGGCATAATACAGCTGGCGCTACAGCTCGGCTAGAATGGGTTGGCGAAGGCTAGCTGCTAACCGCTGCTTGTCCCGTGAGTCTTTACGCTTCTTTATTTCTCCCAGATCAAGAGGGTGCAGATACTGGTCGCTGGGGGAACGCGGTAGCAGGCGAGAGGCGGTTCTGCTTAAGCAAACATTGATTTGGTGCCACCGAGCCACTTCTTCGTCGTTGTCGTAAACGCAGTTATGATCTTTTCTTTGGCTTCTTCTCTTCGAGTTGTCGCACGCGTACAGACACAGCTTCCTCATCTGACGTTTTTTCGTGACTGCGGTGTCGCACGGTACCCGGCATGACGAGATTTGCCCACAACAAACTAAGACGTCGCCTTGGCCGATTGTTGTTGCGACCATTGCGGCGGCGACAACTACGGCCTCGAAAGAGACTTTTGATTCTTCCATATTGTCGCGTCCTCTTTTCGTTGCCGTCAAAAAGGAGATACGGCGATTCTACGGGTCAGCTAACATCGGCTCATCTACTGATCTATCGCGTGATTCAGATGCGAATTGGGGGATCGTCGCTGGATTTTTGGATAACCCTCCTTGTAGCCACTGTCCGCCGAGATGTTACGTCTACCATCCCTTCGTTCAGTTTTGTCTCTTGTATCTAAAGAAGGTTACAACTAAATCAAAATAGATCCACGAAGCATCCGCATATAGCAAATCGCTATAATGCCTTTTTCCAAATGTTCTTGGCTCGCGTCTCATTGCGTGAGAGCTGCTCGTATTTTTTGGAAACCATGGTGTCTGAAGTATTGTTTCTGAAAGCCGAAATCGTAAACGAGAGGAGCAGGTCTGAAATTAAGGTACCATGTAAGCAGTGACGTCGTGGGCTGTGATCGTGAACAGCCAAACTGCGGTGCTAGTAGTTTCATGTGTGTGTGTCCTGTCGGCAAAACGAACTCAATGGGCGGAATGGCGAACGAAGATTGTGTATAAAGGCTATCAAAAAAAGATATCGAGCTCGACGGTGTAGTGATCTCAGTACGGCTCTGTAGTTTCACTAAGATAATTTTAACCTGCCAGCTTTGAAAAAGAGTTAATATAAAGGAATTAACGTCTAGATATTCGGCGGTGGCCACGTACCCACTTTTTCTCCTTGCAGTCGAAAGAGGCTATAGGTTTATTAAGGAGCGGTCGACGGAAGCACAAGGAAATCGTTGATTCAGATTGCGCGGGTCTGCACAACCGTTTGATAATGTCCGTTATGCGCGTGCGAAGTCCGGTAAGGACATATTTACTATAAATGACTCTAACTTAAAATAGCTTTTCAACATAGCCATTATGCCTATTCCAACGGTCAAGGTAGCTTCGGGTTGGCTTATTTACGATGTCGCTCTTCAATTATTGTATATTAAAGGCCAGGCAAGTGCTACCAGTAGGTAAGTAGTAGGAGTCGAGTAGCTAACTAACATAGTCGAATGTCTGCAATTATCTTGTATGGCCTCATATCAGTGAGCACTGTTTGACGGAATACATTATATTATAATTAATACCTAATTGTGCAGGAACAACAAGCATACGTAGTGATACGCCATTAGCGGGTTTGAGTGACTTATTTTTAGTAGGATTTTACCTTAAGGGCCCCATGTTCATGGCACGTCTATGTTACAAATGAGGGCATAAAATGGAATATTATTGTAGTCTTGCGTCTTGTTGCCAGTGCGCATAATGCAAAGGCTAATGAACCTGTAATTTTTTACGCCGAACGTAAGGATAATCGTGTGGCTGCAAATGTCTCCCGAGCGTCTATGCTGTTCAGCCAGGACCGCCTGTAGTTACTTGCTGTTGTAGCGACTATCTCGCCAGGCCTTTATCGCCAGCGACCTATCACGCTACTTTTCGTCTTGCAAAGAATCTTAGGATATTCAGGGCTTAACCATCCGTACGGGGGAAGTAAGCACGTTTCCATTTCTAACAAGCTGTTATATAGTTAGATCATTTTTAGTTATAGGTATGGATCATCCGATTTAGTTAGCGTAAAATTATTGCCTTGTGCATCAGCCACCATTTGATTATTCAACCCAGAATTTTGTCGGACAATGGAATTACACTTTTCTGGGTTGACCCGCTGGCTGGTCCGCATTGCAAACTGCGTGCAAGTTGCAGTTCCTAACGCTCGGTCATATCCAGCAATAGGAAAAAAGCCGTCGGCCCAGAACGTGATCACCTTCATCGTCAGCCTTGGCCTTTATCCTTAGCACTCTAAGCACCTCTGGTGGCTCTCGGCAACGTCATCTGCAGGCAAAGGGCTATAAATCGCTGACCACGTACTGTTCCGGCTGATTCGACCAATACGTGCGGAGCTGGAACAGCGGCAAAACGAAAAAATAGATCAGGATTTGGTTGTTCCTTAGTGATCGTAGCCGTATCCGGTCTCACAGCATCGCTAGACGTTTCAAGCTTGATAGTCTTGCGTCACTTGAAAGAAGAATCGGTTCTGCATATAGATGGATATTTCAAAGCCGCAATCGTCCTCTGTTTGTTATACAAGAAATATCGGGTGATAATTAATTGAGACTACATTCTGCATTGATTTCGTCTTAAAGATATTAAATCGAGGACGAGCAGGAAACAATAGAGAAGTTTGGCAACCTGTGGACATCTGTCTGGCCACTGTACATACAGGCCCACAAAGTATTCCGTTGACAAGACGTTGAAGATGGTTTTATTAAATCGAAAGGAAAAGTTCCATGGAGCAGATCAAAAGCCAATGCAGATGTTTGTTTTCAAATATATTTGATTTCGTGGACAGACTGAACAATATTTAAACTAGAAATCAATGCAGATTCGATTAAATTATATAATTTAATTTTTACGCTGCATGACCTCGGTCAGACCCTAAACCTAACAAAACAAGAAATAATGACAAAGGTCTACTTGATTATGTCACATTATTAATATTGCGTAATATGCCTATACGCTTTGCTTAGTCCGTACTCGTACTCAATACGAATATGAGCACACGTTTGAAACCACCTACCTGCCGTTCCTTTGGTTGTTCGATTCGATTTACAGCAGCATATGGCCACTGTTCTCCACGTTGCCGAGCCTGACGCCGCGATTTCACTCCGTATACAAGCAACTCCAAGTACCTGTGAAAATGACCACAATGACTCCTTTTCGTATTGTGAGCGTCAATGGCGTTATTATACTACTATGATCCATGTGGCACCCTTATCCACAAAACATAGTTACATTGACGATGCATACACACAAGTGTCGTACGTAATACGGTGACGTACCCAGCCAGTACAGCGTTGCCAGGAAGTGCACCGCACCAACAACCAGGTAGGCTATCAACAAAGATGCGGACGCAGCTACGAAAATTGAGCCGCGGAATTATTGTCGAGGTATAGCAATAATAGTACGCCTAGTATTCTATAATGTGCTCAATAATCATGGCGTATTGATTATGTATCTGGTGAAGGGAACGACGAACGCGCGTTTTATCTGTCTCGGAACTGACGAAACAGTAACGGCATAAGAGTTACATGGAATTTGGAGTTGGATAGGAATTGTTGCTAAATGCTAAAAATGGCCATGCTTGTCGCTGTTACTAATTCGTTCTATAGATTCGCAGAAAAAAAAATACGTTGCCCAGTCATTATTCTGGCATAGCATGCCATTGCTTGGATCTGACCGGACCAAACTAGATCAAGACCACCATTTGAATAATAGCACTCATACCTAGTATTTGTTCGCGTGCTTTATTTTTATCTGGGATCGATTAAATACATCAGGACATCTTCTTTCAACGACGCGCCATACACCACAGTCTTACCGACAGGCCTATTGTATTTCGAGGTATAGAACGCCAGATAAGCACTGCACCTGCCTTACAGTAAGATTTCCTATGTTTATGCCTAAACACGTATAGGATATGGCAGAAGTATAAGTTGTATACGTACACAACACTCATATATTTTATATATTAGGTATAAAATGAACATGTGATTTTAGTCCTTATATGTATATTTGTAAACGGCCATGGTTAACGGTAAACCTATATATATATATATATATATATATATATATATATATATGAAAATTTGCAATTTGAATAATTTTGGTCGGCTATGAAATCGGTAATCCTAGCAGACGTCTCCCTTTCATGACTCATTTCTTGGACATTTATCTAGTTTTATTTCTTTTTAGCTGCTTATACAATCTAGCAGATCACAAAGAATCGCGTTACCGTTTTTTATAGTTTACGAACGTATTCCGAACGTTCAACTAGTTCACATCCCTAAACACTCTAGTAATTATATCGCCTATATTTTTAAATAGTGCACTTTAATTATGAGACTTCCGAGAAACTAAATAAAAATATCTCTTTCAAACAAATTGTAACAATTATTTAAAGTTATGAAGAAGAATATTCGATAAACTGCCAATAAGTTACATTTTTTACGGTCAATTAGCAGGATGTATATATTTTTTTTTCAAAAATCATAAGCCACCGAGTTTTGAACACTTGCTTTGGATCTCAACGCATACTTATTACTAATCACATTAACAATAATAATGTGACCGTCCTCTGCATATCTTGTGCTCTTCGTTACCCCTTTATATGTTTTCTGCTCTCTCATTTCAGTTGGAATAACATTATGACGGTGGACAGGTCATCTATAAGCCATTGATTTGGTCTTTGAGCGTCCTTTTTTCTGCTGTGTCCGTTTCGTTCTTTTAACCCGTTTCGCCTACAAAAATCTAAAGGATCCGTCTCAAAGATCGGTATCGGCAACGAGACTCAGGGCTTTCTTCCTTCGCCCGATTCGCCTTCATTTGATTCGCACTGGACCGGTTCATTCCCGTTGTCCGTCCCGATTCGAGCAACGCCCTTTCCAAACTCTGTTTCGTGAGTGCCTGTGGGTGCGGTGAACACCGCCTAGGCGTTGTCGCTCAACTCAGCCAGGCCGAAACTAACCTAGCTTCAGGTCGTAGCACGTATTTTTCGACTTGTTCAAACAATTCTAATCTGCCGATCCTGGGTTTCGTCGTCGCCGTTTTCTCTTCTATTCCTCCTTCAAAACAATGTATCAGAAGATCGACGGGTCAAGTCAGCTACAGATTGGAGCATGGCTTCTTTTCTTAACTTCATTCCCTCCCATGGCTTGGTCCTTAGGTCGTAATTTAGGTCTCCTTGGGGGACTCTCTCCTTTAACCTTCCCAGAATAGTTGGCTGAGACGTATTTCTGCAGTACCGGCAGCTCTAACAGCAACTTCACTACTACCTTGTCCTTTTCCTTGTTGCCTTGTCAGTCTTGGTACGCCTACTTTGTGGTGGCTTTTTTCTACCTTCTCTTTCTCTGCTTTCTCGCTGCCCAAGTATCTCTTCTCTCCCTTTCGTTGCCCCATGAGGCTCCACTCAGCCACAGAAGTAGCAGTTGTAACAACTAGTACGAAGCAAGGCCGACAGTGTCGAAGTCAGCGCCGGCAGTTTAGCTGATCGACCTGCTTCTCGACTAGGGGACGTGGGCCCTGAGGGAGCCACTTGCTTGTTGGTCGTTGCTTGGCCACTTGCTTTGTGCGATCTACCAAGCTGGTCGCTTGTCGTAACAGAGCTCGCCAGTAGTCTCTTAGTGCTCCTCTACCCCTAGCGTCGTCTTCCGTGCACCGCTGCTTCGCCGACGGGTTTGGCACAGGGGTACAGCATTCCACTGGGTTGAGCATAGAATTCGGTAGAGTGCGCTTACTGGGAGCGCCGTTCGGGCATCGCTGGAAATAAGGGCCCAATGGACGCGTGTGGGGTTTGGACGGCTTTAAAGAAATCCCCCAAGTGGCTGTGGCGCGTTCGACCTCGCCGGTGGCTTCACGAAAGAGATGCAACGGAGTAAAATGGATAGGAGTCCGGAAAAGAGTCAGCGGATATGGCGTACATGGTCGCCGGCAGTTCAGTGGTGGTCGTATAGATAGCAGGGGGCAGTCACCTAACCAGCCGCCGGTGTTCTTTGCACGGCTTGCGCGTCACGTATGCCAACTGCGTGTACCCACATCATCGAGCGACTGCAAATCTATTGGATGTGACGGATTATCATGGTTATACTGTGCTTGCTTACCGTGAAGAAGCTCTCTCTGGAGACAGACTCTATCAGTGGGTTTATCGAAAGAATTATAGGCTATGCGAGTATGGAACTGTATGTATATTGCGTAGTTAGGAATGTCGCTATTGATTCAACTTACTAACGCAAAAGATGTGTCTCAAAATGTTCATAGTAGTTCCTGTTGTAGAGAGCATAATTATCAGGACATTTAGCAACGGCGGTTTCTCTCAAATTCATATTCAAAATGGTTCTTAGGCTGGAAAACTAACAATTACCGTAAGTATTATAGACATTATATAAGTACGATCCTTGCTGACAGTGACTTTAGAATACGGATGAGTATTCGTTAAGGATATATTTCTGGGTTATAAAGACAGCGAATAAGAAAAAAAACCCGGAGAGTCGTAGCTAGGGTTGTGAGTTTAAGAAGGAATAATTTTACTGTGTAGTTTCTTATGTCGCAGTGCAGTGTCCGGGTGAAACACAAAAGTAAGAAAGATAACCGGTTTTATCAATGTAAGCTTAGTATTCTCAAGATTAACCTGATTTACTCAAAATGGGCTTAATACACGTTCAGCTCAACCCGCACGCTTTTATCAAGGAGTGTAATAGAAAAATGAATTTTTTACAAAAATTCTTCTTCGAGCACGGATTAGACGAACGGTGCACAGTAAATTTTGCTCAACATCTGGCTACACTCAGCAGCTTGGCTTAATCTAGCTCTATTGTTTTACACCATTTTAGCACAACTGCTCCAATCCAAATTATAAAACTCTGAGCTAATCACTGACTTGCCGTGCACTTATTATGGGGAGCAGTGGCATAGCTAAACTTGCAAGGGACGTTCTAGCTTTTCTACTACCACCGCCGAAGACCTCTAAGGTTGCGAATATGTATGCCGACGCAGGACGAATACGAAAAGGTCGCGATAAAACATGAGCAAGGAGTAGTGCTGGCTGAAGGCCAGGGATACTGGGACGCGGTGTTCCACAATACTGCAGCACGAGGAGCAGGCAAGTCCTAGCCGACCGACGAATATTTCTCGCAAATGAGCTCCAATTGGCACGATTACGGTTTCCGGCCCATTAGCTTACTAATTTCCTCTTTAAGAGAACGGAAAGAAAACAGGCTCGGAGATGGCGGAGGCAGCCACAGGACAGCTATCAACGTTACCCGTTCTGCCTATCTAGCGGTTTCTTCTGTCCGAATGTCGATTGGTCGCGTAATGGCAATAGTCGATCCATAGTTTGGGACGACTCTCGCATGTGTCTTGTTCAGCCACCTTGGCGGCACTGGCTGTAGAACTCTTTTCAGGCCGCCTTGGAAATTTTTTTTTTCATTACTTTCACAGTGAGAACGAACATGTGAGAATCCTCATTGCTTAGAGATGGGCAAATTTGCCTTGGGCTCATTAGTAACTTTCGTCAACTTTTCCATTAACTGAAGTAGTTTAGCAGTTCAATAGAATGCTTCTATGGGTATATTCTTTTTAAGACAGTATTTTAATCTTGGCAATTGTACCATTAGTCCATCACAACTGGACCTTTGCGTCGAGAGATGCAACTTGAAAACCATCACATGATCCCACTATAACCTTAGTTTAATGTAACCGCCGGATATGTACAATGCATATTCGATGGCGAATTTTGCGCATCTGTGTACAAAGCAAATTCCGTATATTTCACAAAGAGTCAACGATCTTCATTTTAGCTTTCTCTTCCAGACAACGTTGACGATCAACGCAATAATAAGCTATCGTAGCTCCAACTAACCTACCAAACGATAGCCTGTTGGATGGATCTGTTTCTCAAAGTGGCCTAGGGCTGGCATATACAACTATTGACACAAGCTGGACATGTGATTATCGATATGAAGAAGATCTAACTTGTTCCATACAGGGCCTGACGGATTGTTACTTCCGTCCTCCGCGCGTGTGGTTCTATTTTTACGTGCGCAATGAAGCCGCCGCCATCCTAACGTAGGTGGCCATCAATCTCGAGAACGATGACCTGATAGCTACCAGACAGTCGAGTCAATGTGGATGAAGAAAAGAACGCTGCGACCAATGATATCACACAAGAGGGTAATCAATGTACAGGGAAAGGCGGCTCTGCACCAGAAACCTAATACTGCACCTTTGTTACTTTTCTGCTTCCACCATTTCTGTTCGTGAAATCGAACGGTCAAATCCCGTAGCTCAGTACCAGATCCATGGATAGCCGGTCTTACTCCGCACTCGTGACATCACTTTGACTCGATTTCCACGCTTCGTGCCTGGACTGCGTCCTATCAACATAGATTAGACGAACCAACAAGAAACGTGAGCCGGCGCGCCTCTAACGGAGCTAGGTTGGCGCGCGAGTACTAGCTAGCGTGCCCCGGAAAACCGTAACGGACGGCGATTCGGAGGACCTGTCCAGCGTCGTCGACCCGACTTCGTTTTTTTTGTTGACGCCTGCAGTCGTCGGGAGACAAGAAGATAATGACGGCGAAGGGGCTATCGACGAAAAAGGACAGTACGAAACGATCCAAGGTAAACGACTAACTGTGTTACTATGATCACTACGTTCTAGGACGGGTGCCATAAGCATGGCAAACTCGCAATAAAAAAAGTACGATGAGCCGAACGCAAGCATGGTAGGTCTAACGTACCGGGCAAACAAGCAGGAAAACTAGACGAACAGCAAAACAGGCTATCAGTATGACTATTATTTGCAACCTCTGTTATTGCTGCTACCATGGCTATTATTGTCGTTACTCACCTTACGACCGGACCAAGTAGCAATAGGTGGAAAACGACCCGTACGAGCCAGTCGCATAACGACATTTTGGGCCGATGTAGCATTGGGGTATCCTCCAGTCCTGTTGAGTCTTTCATCGCCTTCGATGACTCCTTGTCGTCCTGAACGTACCACCGAACTGAAAATACGTTGACGATCACTGATGGGGTCACTGGAAGAACGAGGAACAGAAACAGAAGAAAAGCCTATGGTAAATTGAAACCGAAGAAGGAACGAAAGAAACGGTAACCTAGCGAAAGTGAATAGAAAAAAAGGAATCCGGTATAAAGGTGGGGTCAAAAAAGACGAAACAGTTTACGAGCGCAGATCGCTTAGTGGTCGTCTAGTCGTCCACATTACTTCGTCGTCGTTATCGCGCTCTGCGAAGACTTACTTGCACATCGGCAGTACACAGATCCTTACTTAATTCCACCATCTTAATGGCAGGCAGGTAATATGGGCCTGCGTATGTTCTGGAACGACGTGGGCTTTCACAGGAACAGGTCTGAGGTGACCATTGACTACTGAAGTGGTAAAGCATTCAGCCGTGGTAGCCCTTAGGGTTGAGCCTAGTTGAGAGAACCCATAGACTGCTTGCAAACGATTCCTTAGGAACGATCAATTTTGCATTAGGATCCGAATTGTCGGAAAAAATGTTCTCGACAGAGTTGTTTCACCTGCTAGTTATTGATCAGGAACGACAGGATGAACTATAACATGAAGGTTCCAGCTTTAGGAAATCAGTAAAAGGCATTTTCTCTGGTTTGGAATTGTGCCTCTGTCTCGATCAGTATGTACTCTCTATTTTAATGAAATCTAAAAGATGTAAATATATTTACTTCGTATTGAATAAAAAAAATCCGAATTTTTTTGTATGTAGTTCCATTTTTTTCTATATGGATATGTAGTTTTATTTTGAGTAGAACTGGACCGAATGGCTAGCTAAATATAAAGCAATATATTTTCATTACAAAAAAAAAAATTAAAATTCTATTTAAACCCTAAAAAATTATTTACTTTACGCATCTGCACGTTACAGTTAGCGGCTTACCGGCTAAGTGAAGAATTAGTAAACAGTAGCTTCACACCGTCGCTTGAAGGGTTATTATAGTGGTGAAATAAGAGGACTGCATTGTTACAAAGTAAGGCTGGGGCAAACTTTAAAGCAGAACGTATACTCATATTTTAAGCTATATTGCAAATTTATACATCAACGTCTATTTGGAAAATGACTGTATCATTGATATTTAACCACTGCTTTAATCCTCTACCAACGATGGACTTAGGAACTCTCGAGAAATTAAATTGTTCCCGTTCTTTCTCGACATGACCAGCTTCGTGTAGAATAAAGGTTTACGCCCGATATTGTCCTTTTGCGTGATCAAACATTGCTGATAATTATGAATATCAGTTCCATATAGCTATGAGTAAACAAATACCTTCAGTCTATCACTAAATCCACATGTGTAACAGTTACCTGTAAAGGCAAGCGTGATTCCAGCGCAGATGAGGTTATGGTTGATGTAGAACAGGTAGCAAATAAAGGCGTCCGAGGCCAAATCCAAGGAGTACGTCAATAGCGAAAACACCGTAAATAGCGCTGAGTAAGCTGTAATGACCAAATGCCAAAATGGCGCAATTCTGTGTGAGAGCATTAGGTGCCTATAAACACGCCGTGATATAAACAGAAGTAAATAACATAAGAACACAGTAAAGACCTTTTTCTAAGATAAGTTCACGCTTACATGTTACTGATTCGCTGACTCAACGACTGATGTGCACAAGTTTCAATACGACACAAGCATATTTCTCGACAAATTTAACTTGGAAGTTTTACATGCTACCGTACCTCTACCAAAAGTACTGCGCAAGGCGGGAGGGAAGTTTCTTAAACAGACAGTTTAACAAAAGATATATATATATATATCATTATCATCATTAGTAAAACGAATATGGGAAAAAAGGTTTACGTCAAAACAACTGAACAAAGTGTGTTTCTTCTTAACGAGGGAACTTGCCTTTTCCTGCTGGTATATCTGAAAAAACCATTTTCAGGCTAATGATAAATTATAATTACATTTCTCTTTACCAATTTCAATATCTGTTCAACAACGAAATATTGATAGTTGAAGACCACTGTTCTGTCACTATATGTTCCAAGCAGGCCTCTTCGAAAAAAAAATGGCACTTCACAAGACAAGCAACTCTGAACCCTATACCTCTAACACCCATGCGTAATGTACTATAGCTGTTCATATGAAAGTTATATAGCATGTAGAAAGCAGATAATATCCCTCACGTATAATCACAGAGGATAAATCCTGGGCGTGATTTTACCGAGGCTGTAGTCCTCCATGCACGCTATTACAAATTTTAAGCGAAAACTTCAAGCACATCGTTGATCAATACAGAATAAACTTTTCGCAGTCACTAGCGAAAAGTAGTGGCCATAAAGTGTCTGCTTTACTTACCATCTTTTACTCCAATCGGCGGACTCACGCTGCTTTTTTTTTCATGGAATGATGAATTTGATTTGTACTAGCACAAATTAATGTTCCGAACCCCTATGTCCCGTGCTAAGTATCGTTTCTGACAATTTATTTATACCAGATATTACTAATCTTTGATTATAAGCTGTCGTATACACCTCTAGGAAATTCAAATTCTCGAACAAACTCAAGGTTTGGATTAGCTTAGGAAGCAGACTGCCCAGTTATGTTTACCCAATTTTCAGTGTACCTAGTGTTTTTAGGTATTTTATATTATGTAAATGAAAATGTTTATAGGTGGTTCATAGTTTGGCTACATTTTATAAGTTTTCGCAGATCTTGGACAAAGTTCACACTGCAGGTGAGTCATGTCCAAGATTTTAAGGAAGGTTATTTAAAAAAACAGATAGCTCTTCTGAATTAGTTACGGATGATGGCTGACACAGACAAATATACAATGAAATTTCATGAGATCAGCCTTCATTCGAGTGCATTTTACCCTTTTTAAATTGCCATTTATAGAGCTCTGTTCTGTTAAGCCGCGCTTGTGGGGAACACCGCAATGGTTCTACCTATGGCTCAAAAAGTCTGATAGAGATATTTACAATACACTTAATCTAGGAGAGAAAATATGAACCATTGAAGGTGAAAATGTGTTTTATATATATATATATATATATATATATATATATATAGACAGAACGCACTGGTATAGAGACTATCTATTAAAGCAGCATTTTGTCCTTATATAGTGAAAAGGACGGAACTACGGAAGAGTAAAAATCTGCCTCGCTCTTCACGTATCTGTCCCGAAATAAGGCCTAAGCCGTCCGTGCTCTCAGCTATTAGTTCCTGCCAATACCTCAGACACGCTAATTCCTGTTCGGTGGTCGTCCAGGGCTTGCTGTGACGAGGTGCTGAGATTATCACCAACATAGTCAAGCCGATGTTGTAACTCTGCAATACCTGCTCAACTTACTTGAACCGGAATACTTTTTCGGCTATATTGCAACGATGGCAACTTCGCTACAAATACTGCTCATTTGAGCATCGTCATGTTCCTATTTAGCAGATAGCGATAAAAATTCCCGAAATGATTGTTGTGAGCTGTGACTTTCGAACTATTAATGTGTTTATCTATTTTCGTAGGCTAGCATGCCAGAATTTGACAGTCAAGGTTCGCTTGCCATCATCTAATTGCTTTTTTCTTTTCCTGTCACTTTTTGTTGTCCTGGTTATTTTAGCTACACCGAAATACTATCCTGAAGTTCTGTCTGGCGAGCTCACGTTATGCATAATACAACGAAGTGCGCAATAAATTTCTCGTTTACAAGTACTCAGCGGTACGAAGTCGTGCGTTGCATCGCTTGTCGTCTTAGGTGCGATATACAATAGTTGCAGTTTCACTGCCTTCCTTTCCATTTCAGACTTGATGCTATTTCTCGCTGCCTTAATACTTCCTGCTTTCATTATCTCTATTTTGTCAATTTTTCCCATACGTCTCTTAGCTCCAAAAAGGAGCTACTTACCTGTAAACGAATCTTGTTTTTTTCTAATGGCTGCGTTCGTCGGTAGTGGTTCGGTGGATCCAGCGTAATCATACGTACTGCTGCCGCTACCCCCGACGAAACTATAGTCACGCTGGGGTTGCGACTGCTGTTGCTGCTGTTGAAGTTCGAGTTTGCAGAGTGGCATCGTTGTCGAGAGGCATGAAAAGGCAACAGAAATCAGCAGTTGTCCCAGGAGAAGGACAAATCCCCAAAAGGCAGCCATGTCGATGTGAGCGGAATTAGAAGACAAGCAGGAAAACAACAAAAAAAAACATTGTTATAACTAAATTAGTACCATAATAGTATGAAGCTAAACAACAAATCGTATTTCTGTGAAAGACACAAACCGCTTTAAGACGAAAAACAGCGTGGTAGCAAAATGATAGGCTAATGCGGTAGATGAGCGAAAATCCCAAAAAAACTGATATATACAGAGGAAGGGGAAAACTCTGAGAATTTTCATTTTAAACATGTGCAGTTTGTAAAAGTCATATATTATATATGACCTTTCTCAAATTGTCAAACGCCCTTTGTTGCAGCTAATACCTAAGAACCGAAGACTGCTTGTTGTCTCTAGAAGAGAATGAAGAAGATAAGATCTGGCAAAATTTTCGAGATCTTTTGTGTACTGGCGGTTAGGAGCGTTGCCCGTATCTGGCTCGTACGTCTGTTTTTTGGTAGCGTAAATTTTGATAGGTGTTGGTGCTGCAGCGTCAAGACATACGGCATGGAGACGTCAAGAAGAAGAGGCCAGACTCTGTTAGACATAGTGTTGTTTTATTTCTGGTCCAGTGACGTAACGTCTGTTAGTTTGTCGGGGAAGTAGCAATCGAGCCAGAACATAAACACAATATAGATGATTCGTACGAGCAACGTGTGTTAGACCGTGTTTCTTGGCACAATAATCACGCTCTACCTGAACATTTTATATGCACAGGTGCCATTTCGGAGAGATATTGCACTCGTCGAGGCTGGACTATTTCAATATTTGACGGCTGTTGGGCTCTCAATCGAATGCCAGACACACCAAGGTATTCAGCCTATAATTATAACCTACGGCGCCTCACACACTCGCAATCATGAAAGGACCATGTAAATCTGACTTACATATTCGCGTCAAGTGTAGTAGAGCACGAAGCTGTAACCCGGATTTCGATTTCGATCAAGGCTTCAGATCAAGCTAAAATCATTCTGACGGTTTGAGGTTGCCCGAACCAGAGTCGATGATCTGGCTCTGGCCTATCCGAAACCAAGCCGGTATGCTTATTGTAGACCTGTTTGGTTTTAAGCTCTGTAGTACTTCCAACCCCTGTCATGGCGCAGCTTTCTCGCCCGCCCGGGTCAGATGTCGAACGAGTAGAAAGCACTCGTGTGGAAAAGTTTAGTTGGCTTGCGAGTACTAGCTTCTACCAGTGGCTCACTTTTCAGAATTTTAGGAAGGCGCTCCTCAATACCTCGCTCCCGCCGATAGAGAAGCTTTTTTCAACTCTGGCCTGCATCGTTCCCTTTGCCTTTCAGCTTGACTCTTGCAATACAAGCAGCCAGATCTACGCGGGTTCGCACTACTCTCGAATTGCAACCAAGTGAAATCTGGAACCACTGGGGACCGCAAAACCTGAGCGGTGCGATTCTTTTAAATATAATATGAGCGACTATAATTTAAAATGCGATCACAATAATCATGACAGAATAAGCATGTGTGTTTCTCCAAATTTATGGTATGTTTATTAATTATCTAATATATATTATTAGTGAGAATAAATTTTAAACTCTTATATATATAGAGGGGTTTTGGTAAAAATCAGGCAAGGTCAATGGATAACAAGCATTCCTTTTAGAGGGATAGAAAAAAAGCGAGCGTGCTGACTAAAAAACGAATTCTGCTAGGGGTCCCCGATGAATGGCACCCGAAAGTTTGCGCTGCGTTTCCCGGCTGTACTTGGACAGGCGTTCGAGTCGCATAAAAAGGATGGACAACTTCTTACAAAATTAGGAGTCTTGCCTTCGTGGCCAAGGACTTCGGACCCTCGCTTCTTCTCGTGGCAGAGTCTCAACACGCACAGGTCCCGGTTGCTGTCGCCGCTATTCTTGGTCCCTGTAGTCGTCGACCGCTCGGCAGTAAAAGAGTCTGTCGAATCAATACGAATGCTGTTGAGCTTATTCATAACAGAAAACGCGACAGCTGCAAGAAGAGCCGTAGCAGCAGCATACGGCAGCAGGCTTCTTTGTTAACCCAACTTTTAGCGTGCAGGACTTAACAGTGTAGGAAAGGCCTGTTCGCTGGGAAACAAATCAAGGGACAGAGGGATACTGGTGGCTTCGTGCTTCCTTATGCGCCACGCTACAACTCCGCCATTATGCGCTTTGCTTTTATATTGAGTTTGGATGAAGTTGTGCGACTGGCGTTAGCCAAAACGTCGTACGATTTAAGTATCCACCTTTTGTGCCTCCATTTCTATCTTTTTCTCCCTACTCGGCTATACCGTCCATGTTTTGTATGTTTAGGATTTTCTAAATAAAAAAGATTCCTTATTGATTACGTATCTCAGTTTAGTGGCTTATTTCTGCATGCTGTTGTTGATCAAACCACTATGACCCCGACTATAACGCATTGGACACGTAGGACCGGAGGAAGATCGTAGCAGCGTTTAGCGTAACTCCCTTGAAAGGGAAAGATGTCAAACTAGGCGTCGGAGTGGTTGTGGCGGTTTGTCACTCCCTCTGAACTATAATATCAGAGTGTATCGGAAACACTCGTCTACCCGTCATCAAACCGTCGTGGTCGCTTGGTTATGGCCACCTCCAAAGAGAATCATTCTTTCGTGTCTCTCGTCGTCAACAGCTTGCCTGCCTCCCTCCGATGGCCTAGAAATCTGCAGATCCTAAGCTTCCTTCTACAGAAGAGACAGGAGAAGGCAGGCCAAACCATCTAGCGAAGGCTACTTCGCCACCCAACAGCATCTTCACTCCGCATCGAAGTCTAGGACAGACGAAGGACACAAGCCACTCTCTCTTGCCAATCACTATGTCGTTTGCAGATGCGCTTCTTTAAGGGGGTTTGGACAGTTGGGTCTTGACTTAAGTTAGGCTCTGGCGTTTCTTACTATAAGGCGATGAAGAAGAGAGCCGCACCTCGTCAAATAAGACCACAAAAGACATCCTTCGATAGGCGTCCTTGGATAATAACCAACGCGGCCGCTTGGTGCCTATTGATACAGTCACTCAGATGCGGTGTAACATTTGAAAAGAAACAGAAGCTACTTTTCTTCTACGTTTCATTTTTCGACTTTGTGTAGTAGCCGGTACATTCTGTATAAACGATGGTGCTTTCTATTATAGCCACGCCATAGAGATTAGAAAAACCGAGGGTAAACAAACGTAAAATAGAGGCATCGCTATTATATACGAACGCCAGTTGCGTTTCGTCTAGTTGTCGGGCACTTGCAGCTGTGCATAATTTCTATAACGCAATAGGTGTTGTAAACTCTGTTCATGCGTTCACGCATAGTCAGAACCGTCCGTATCTATAGTACATATATTAATTTGGCAACAACGTACCTTGACGTTGTTAACTGCCGGATTCTGCAACGGTGGAAGGGTCATATACTGTCGTTCTTGATCTCGCATCAGCTGATCGATTCGCGAAAGCGTTGAGTTCATAGCCGACGACATGGAAGGATGATGAGGGTGCCCGGACAAGCCCCCGGGCCCGCCCGCTTCAGCGTATTCGCCCATGCCGTCCATCATGCCTGAAAGTATATTATAACGAACGAGGGCTAGACGCATTGCTTTTGCTGCATCCAGCCGCGGTTCACTTTCTCTCTTCTATCCTATATATATATAAGATACAGTGTATTAGATTATTGTCGGCATCGGTATTGATCAGACGCCTTGTTATATTTGAACGTAGACCCTCATAGTAGTAGAAGCTCGAGTACAAGAATTAAAGCAATCACAAAGCAATGCAAGCAAAATTCTGATTATTTTTTGTGGAGCGCGAGATTGATTCGACTATTGTGAACATATACTATAACAAGTCTAAGAGCTTTGTGCAAAGACGATTTTCAGGTATCACCATGTACAAGGTAGAGCACCTAAACTGTAATAGACCTTGCGTTCATTCGTTATTTTTGGTACTAGCAGAAAAGAGGAAGATAACAAACTCGCCGTAGTTGAAGATAATGCGGTGCTTCTGCGAAAATTAGCTGTTGTCCAATTTCTCTATACTGCACGAATCCCTACCAAAATAAAAGGCTTTTTTTACCCAAAATCTGCGGTCTATGCTATTACAAATTTCCGTGCATATTCTGAAGAATTCGAAAACAATTCCCATGACACAAACCGGAAGATCCTCAATAAGTCTTAGATTTCAAGGGTTCAAAAATGTATCAAAATGGCTCAAATGCCATTTTTGATACATGTGGACTTTAGCACAGAAACATATGACCGTTTAAAAGAGAGAAATGTGAATTATTATCTGGGTCATTCTGAGAAGTTCAGGCGATTAACTTCATTGAGACTTTTTGCACTTTTTGAACTTTTAGCCATTTCAAGCTCCTGCATTTTGAGACTTTTAGACTATTCTTAACCCGAAATTTTTGAACCTAGAAATACTGCTCAGAACACGATTAATGTTAAAAAGGCCATGCGTATTAAATAAAAGTATATCGTAAAAAATATCGGTGAGTAGTCTAGGTCCCGAATTGAAACTGCGATCGCGGTGAGTGATATTACATTGGTCCAAGATAATTGTTAAGAATGAAAGCGTTAGCAATTGTAAAAAATATCTGTTTTAATTTAGGTACAATCTTAAAAACAAAGTATGAGAAAAAGTGCCGTATTCTTTCGTGCATAATCCAATCGTCTGCCTGCTAATGGGTTCTTGTTATTTTGTTATTTTATGGAGAACATTGAAATATAATAATAAACAATAATTCTTCGCATTTTTTCGCTTCATAACAGATGTACAACGTTTTTTCGAAGGAGAAAACACCTCGCCTCTTTAGGCGCTTTACTTGCCATAAATGTTACACGTTTTCAGAAATACGAAGCACCAATTATATAACAATTAGCAGAGGTTAGAAATCCTATATGAGTCTCAGCACCCAAAGATCCATTCGACCAGTCGATGGTCAAATGGATCTTTGGGTGGGCATATGGGAGCTGCCCAGAATAGCGAAGGACGTTACCCGTGAACCTGTTCGTTCAATCAGCTATCCTTCGATTGACTGCTCCACATTTCAAGTCACTGGACAGCTAGCTAAATATCTTTAGAGCAGTACACCAGTAAAAAGCGCTGTACATAGCATACGAGGCCGTCTGCTCTGTGATAGCAACCTCATATGTAACTTCTACAAGAGAGCCTGCTATATACAACAGTATTCCGGACGCTGCTCCTAATTCCACTCGGACGGTAAGACGAACGGGACAGTTGAAACGGGAGGCGGTCGTGCTTTTTTTCTACAAAACATTAGCGACATTTCGCTTCGCACTCGAAACGAAAGAAACCCACGTCGACCGTTCACTTATCCGGTCCACTTGGAACAATAGGTAGAATTACTTTTGGACGCTAGTGGCGGGTGCGCATTAGACCCTCGGTTATCAGAAATATTTCTTGCCTCCGCTATTGCACGCTACTTCAAGGGCTTTTCCCAGCTAAAGTCCTTTTCCCCGTAGTAGTGTAATGTTCTGTATTTCAAGGGCGTCTATCCCTATAATAGAGGAAAAATTATGCCTAGCACAATATTACGGTAAGCAGCATGCAACGGAACTGCTATCATGTACGACGCAAAGGTCCTCTACCACAGAGTGCTGCCGGTTGGTAGGCAAGCAATACCAAACTGGAGCTGGAAAGGGTGGGCTTGTCGTCAGTACCCGTATGAGATGTCAAGAAAACTAACCGGACAGCGAGAGACATTCGGCAGAGGCGATTTTGACAGAGTTCTAAGCTTGAGCTCACTCTCTGTCTAGTTATAGCAATAATAGAGAGGCCTTTGGTCCTCTTCGTTTTCTGGCCTTCATTCTCAAAGCTGAACTTGTTCCGGGTTTGCTCAGGCTGGTGCTTTCTGTGGCCCTTCTGACTGTCCTATCCAACCCCGCTTTCTCTCTTTTGGTAAAATTCCTTGATGGAGAACAGACAACGGCGAATCAGAGAGAATGTCGAGATTCAGGCTTGCAAGCAAAACCTATGGCCATACGGGGCGGACCAGACAATCTGGTTCATAATTACCCGGCAAGGGGTAACGGGCAGCTGAAGGACATTGTGAAATGAATTTCGTAAAGATACAAACAGACACAACTTGGTAGGGCAAGCTCGCAATCGCTACGTTCCGTATTTGCCCTTCCACCTAGTTTAAGCGAACAACAAACCCTTCTAAAACAGACACTCAGAGAAACTGATCTCGTATGCACTTTGTGGATGCATGATAGGCATTGAGATTTACAAACGTGTCATCTATCTTGGTTTGCACTTCTAGAAATGCTAGGTTAATGTACCCTCAACATTAGCAAAGACATAATGGACCGTTTTGAAGCTCTCGAACAACCACAATTAAGTTATTACGGCCGTAGTATTAACGCCATATATTAGCAGAACCTAAGTTTGTCCTTGTTAGAATAAAAATTAGTATTTCAATAACTAATCTTATAACTACATAACAAAAGATATAACCGTTTTTTCATTCTCTATTCAAAAAGTCCGATTTTTCTCCAACTGCATACCATTCCAGTCTACTTCATAATTCTAATATAACACCTCGCCACTACTTTTCCAGGACACACCTTGCAGGGTGCGCACCCAATGTCATGACCGACTTCGTAATAGTACTAGTTTGCATGTACTTGTCAAAGCATCAGAAAAAAACGAGCCTCGTGACCTGGACAGGATCCAAGCCATAATATCCCTCCTCTTCATAAAGCTTTGAAAGCTGCAGATACCCTTCCTGTTAGCCATTACTAACATCCTATTCGAGTAAATATTTCCCATTTGCGTCGACCGGCATTTTAACAGTCAGCTATCTTCAACTGAAACGTTCAGTCGAGTTCCACCCAACGGCTTGGAACAACGGTGCAGCATGGTTTGCGTGCCCTTTATCGGAAACACGAGGCTTGCAGCCTATTGGATAGAATCAAGCGAATTTGACTGCAGTAATAAGTATTCATAGAAATACATGAGTGAATGTGAAGGGCGCCATTTATAAATGTTTGATATATATTATATATCAATAATATTTTGTGAGAAAAGTCCTTGTCTGGTTTTTGTCTGACCATTCAAAATGGTTATCACCGGTAAAGTGGAGAGACAACTAGTAAAGTGTAGATTCCTTCGATTAATACTGATGCAATGGTACGCGTTATAGGTTTGTTGCGAATGTTCTTGCAAATTCACAAAGCGGACTAGTGCAGCCAACGTTTCTGGCATGAGGCTTGACGTTAGACGATGGAATGAGTGCGCATCGGGTATATCTCGCTAAAGACGGAAATACAACTTATTAGTTAACTTTTCTCTAGGAATGTAAGTCAACCATGGGAAAGGTCTGGTATTCCGAAATCTTAAAATATGGAAATTCAGACAAACATATTTATTTTTAATTTAAATATGCACCTACTACTAAATAAAATTAAAAATAGAAAAATGTTTTTGTACGGTGGGCTACTGGTCTACTGTTTGAAACGACGTTTATTTACAACGACGATTTTGCAATAAAAAAAAGACAAATTGACTTTTTGCCTTTTTGACAGTTTGTCGGTAAATGGCGTTCTTTCTTGTTATTGATTTGCTGACGTGGTTGGCTTAAGCATCATTTTTGCCCATTTCGTCGATAAAAATTGATATTATAATGTGTAGCTACTGAAAAGCCGAAGCTGGCTATCACTACGTAAAACTAATATACGCGTAATGTCATGGTTAAAACATCGTAGCATTTTCGTAGGTTCGTTGATGTTTGTACATTTCGTGTTCTAGCACCTTGTTCAGCTCGTCACAAAAATCCAGTACAAACAAAATACTCGTCGTAAAGATTTCCCAGTGTCTTCAAATATTAGTCTGCATTTCCTTATGAACTCTAAGCCCACTTTTCTTAAAACTGCAAGCTTTCACTCCTTCGAGCTTTTCCTGTATATACTTTTCAGCTTACGCAAGTATACTTTCGTAGGTGCTTGGTGTAGGTCGAAACGCCTAAAATACTAGACATAGGTCCGAAAAGGCTGACATCTTTTGAGAACTAGGCCAGAACAGCAGCGAGGGCAGATTCAAAGCTTATCGCTAGTCCTATAATGCCCTTGCAATGCTGCGGGTTGAGTCAGGTTAAATACTAGCAATTGTTGTCCACAGTGGTAGAGTCTGTAACGCAAAATTCAAGCGGTCGCTACCGATCGAGGCCGATGAGAGTTAACGAAAGCCAAGAAGCAATAGCAGCTCGAGCACTCTAAAAATTTGGAGTGCGTGGGTATAGTTAGGTGCTGTAAGGCGCTGAGCAGAGGTTGAGGAACTGGCGCATTTGGAGAAAGGGCAGAGCGCAACCGCGAGAAGCGTTTTTCGAAGGTGCCATTGCTGCTGCCATAACGCGTGCTCACGCGTAGGCTTCTCCTGAGAAGGCCTTGTTCTAGCGGTAGGGAGAAAGCTAAAAAAAGAGAAATACGGTAGCTTGGTAACTGTCTGCCTCGCCGCAAGACTAAAAGCCCACTGCGCTTGCACACACTCGTGCTAATACAAAACAGAGCTTGCCCTAAAGGAGGGAGGTAAATGTCG